TGGAGAAAAGCATCAAGATCATTACTGCCAAAGGAATGACACCAGATTAGAAACACTTATGAATTGTTCTGACAAGAGAGTGAATATTTAATTAAGCAAGGTAATTTCTTGTGGCATGGCAGACATAAGGTAGTACACAAAAAATACCTTATTTAGTGTAAGTCAAGCCTTGCATTTATAAACTAGACAGAGGAACTGGTTGTGGTTTTGAGGCTCAGTGTAGAAAAAAATGTCCTCTGGTTTGCCAGTTACTATGATGAACTAGCCACAAATGTGCTATGTTAAATCTGACCTTCCTCTTTGAACTGACTAAATAATCAATTGGGTTCAGGATGATACCAACACCTTACTTCTGAATTAAGGTGACTTCTCTGGTTTGGTCCAGAAGATGGACTCTGAGGTTTAGTCCTAATGAGCTCATGATTTTCTCAGATACTCAGAACCCATTTTAGGAAACCAAATCCTCCCTGTGAAGGTTAGCATGAACTGAAATTAAGCATTTTTAAAATTTTGTATCAAAAACTTTAAAAATACTTTTTTACTCTAAAGTGGAGTTAGAGCGACAGTGGTGAAATGGCTACTTTCTCTTCCTTTCTTGAAAAAATAACCTGAAAGTTATTACAGAAATTAAGAAACTTAATTTGTTATGTTTATTGTAATAGTGTCTGAAGCATCAGCCATAATAGAGCTCATCTGCATAATACAAACAGATGTAATATCTGCTTACAGTGGATTCTTTAGTCTCTGTTAAGGTACCGAGTGACTTACTGGATACAGTGAGAGTTACCTTGCTCAGATAAATATATGAGGAAGAAACCCACACTTACTGTCATAACGTTGATTTGGCTGTTGGGAATGAGGACATGTTTGCTATTGTCAGAACCCACTCAATAACTCAGTACAAAAAGGGGAGTTTTGGCTCATTTGTACAGATAAGGATGCCTCCACACAGGGGAGAACACTTCTGTAAACAGTGTTGTCTGAAACTAAGGCAGAAAATTTAAACCTCAAGAAGGAAAATTATCATATGAAGCAATCTGTCAAAGGGATTGGAGTCATTAAGATGGAGATGGCTGGGTGAACTTTAGAGACTGAAAGTTTCCTTAGCCTGATAGCATACTTATTGCAGGCTGGTGCCTAGTTTGAATGTCACCACAGATCCTTCATCAGATCTGTTCAAGAAATAAGAGCTTGAGCTGTAGAGAATGGACTTAACAGATGTCAGAGGGTCTCTGATGTTTCAAGGAATATTAACCCTGCTGATGAAGCATGACTTTGCAGAAGCTTTTGTGATCCAAGTCAGTTTCAGAAACTGATTTCAGGTACATAGATGTGAAAATGTAGCAACGGGAAGAAGTGGAAATACTGCACCTAGGGTGAAAAGAAAACAAATTCTGTGAGGCTGCAAAGTATGCCAAAATCAAATGGAATAGGGTAATGACAGTGAATTTTTGTCACTTCCGGAAGATGATCCGAAGCTTTCACTGTGCTCATGGCTGCGTCTGGAGTGCAAAGAATGCTGCCAGTCAGACTCCCGGGGCTGTCAGCACAGGAACCAACACTCGCTGCAGCTGATGGCAGAATTGAGATATTCCAGATTTAGAGAAAGAGTTAAAATCATAGCAGACAGCAGGTACAACAGATACCTGCACACTTATAATCAAGTGCAAAAAAATGCATGTCTATCACCTACTGCTTAACAGCCTTGGCATGGCAGGTACTTGGCTTTCAAGCATCAGCTGGCTGAGAATGTCAGAAAACACTCTACCTGACAAGCCATCTCCTTAGAAATCTGGTTTGTGAAGATCTCTTTATGATAGGGAATATGACAGCTCTGAGCAAACCTGGGCTTGGCTGGAAAATGCCCTTACTTCCTGGGGACACAGGACAGACAGCTAGGGGAAAAAAAAAAGAGACAATCCAGCTAGCAAGTGCATGGACTGGACTAGGTATCACTGGCCATACCAACTGAATTGCATAGACACATAAAGTAGGACAAGGGCTTTGTTCAGAAGTATTATCAGGTTTCCTCAGAGACTACCCTTTACAAACTGTGCTGATACTGCACTGAACAGATGAAATTTTACCCAAAAAAAAGAGATGAAGTTTGGAGAAAACCCAAGTATGATTACTGCTTTCAGAATAACAAACATTTCATCTAGAAGAAATTTTGCAATGACAAAGTCAAGCCAACCCTTTTTTATCACAACCGTGAGAGCTAAAACTTGCTATTTTCCCCCTGTACTGTGCAATTGGTGTTGCTGCTTCAGAAAACTGTGGGTACCTGAGCTGGACTCAGCAATTGTTAACAGAGAAAAGTATGGGATTGGTTCAATACTGATGAAACAAAACACCAAGATAAGAACAAAAGCAAGACATGGAGGTTTTGTGTCAGATCAGTGCAAGAACTATCAGTTACTGGTCACTAACACAATATAATGATGGCCATAAACCTTCTGTTTCCTTAAAATCTTTAAATAGGTCCAAGAAAGTGCTAGATATGCATAGCCCTCCTCCCAAGTACAGCCAAAAATTTAAATCAATTAACATTTTAGTGACTGTATTTTTGTTCAATTTCTAAACAATAACAGCTGTGAGAAATAATGATGTTAGTATAAGATCCATCCTCATTTTAGCTCTCTTGACTCCTGTGATTAGTGAGGAAGAGGTATTTACCTATTAAGATAAGTTAAATATGTGTAAGGATGATTGTTTCATAACAATTTAAAACACAAAAAAGTCTGGCTTTCATCTGCAGATGGGGCCTGCACTGATACACTACACAAGCTCTAATTATCCACTTACAATTATAATTACACGGATTGTCTCAAGCAGCCTGTCACTTGCCTTCAACATTCTTAGTAGTGAACTATTTACATTCCCTGTATCCAGCCATAGTATTTGACACAAGCTACACCTGCAAAGTTTTCAGCATTAGCAACAGTCTGGAAATAGCACATCCAACAGCTTTATGGGCTTGAGTGGAAATCATGTATTAGGACCAAGAGGCCTTCAAAAAAGTCTATTAGAAACTCTTCATCTACTGCAGATCAGTATATACCTTTATAAGCAGAACTAGCCCCACTCCAGTACTTGGCCTTGGCTGCTGCACGTATTTTGAAGATAAATCAGCAGTTTCAAGAGGTGAGGAGCTAGCTGTTCGGTATACAAGTATCCCTATAGATGCTATGCTCCACTGCCTGCAAGCTGTAAGCAGGTGTCCACTGCAGTGGATGTCTCTCTCATTCTGCTATCCATGTAATTAATGAACTTCACTCAGCGTGTGAAATCAAACAAAAATAAAAAGGGCAGTTATTTAATGTCCTTATTTACCATGGGTTAAAGCTAAAATACAAAAGAGCATAGCCCAGTGATGACAGCAAGACACCATCTAGTCTGTCCTCATTTAAATCAGTATGATCTTGCACTGATTTAAATGAAGCCAGGATATCCCTTGAAAATCAGCAATAAAGCTGAGAAGCAGCATTTTGCTTGCCCTCCCCTTTGTGTTCACAAATGTGAAGCATATGCAATGCATGCTTTTAAAAAGTTTGAAATTTCTCACTTCAGGTTCAAATAAACTCAAACCCAGACCAAACCCTAGTGGCAATAGCTAAAGTGAATAGAAGTCATTGATGCATACTATTTGAATACTGAAAGCAAAATTTATGCTGTTGAGAATGATAGATGAGGGATGTAAATTAAGAATTGGGAATGTTGTGGGATAAAGATTTTGGCTGTCTATAGAAGAATATAATTTACTCAAAATTTACTTTAAAATAGCTCTCTAAATGAGGAAAATCTCAGATGAAACTCATTTAACAGAAATACAGAGATCTGCATCTGGATTTTGTCTTCACAAAAATCATGCTGATGCTCAAAATTTGTTCAAATATTAAGCAAACTTAATGGCATATTAAATGCCGGTGAAGTTCCTTTTTCTATTTTTTTTTCCTCCAAATAACTGAACTAAACACATTTGTATTTTCTTTGCTTGACATACCTATTAAAAATTCACACCCTTCTTTCAGAGATCTTACTAATCATTCCCAGTTCTAGCATTGTGTAACGTTGTGCCAGACACATAACTGTGTTATGTTCTGTTTCTGTTCTATCACCTTAAGATAAATGTACCCAGGCTAGAGGTATATATACTGTAAGATGTAGCAACAAATTGTGAAACTCTGGAGCCTTGGAGCACAAAGAGCTATGGAAATGTTGCTGTGACTGCCTTAAAAATCAGGAATCAAAACACACAATCACATTACCCTGGGAAAAGCAATTTCAAGACTGTATCCTTACCTCTGAGTTTCTCCCTGCATGTGCCTTTGCCCCTATGTAGGGAACACAGTGCACTTACCCTACAGATAGCACCTGATATTTGGTCCTTTTAGGTTGGTCTGGTATGCACTGGGAGCTCAGTGGTATAGCCAGTGGCTGAGTCTACTCTCTCTTTGCCCTGTGCACAAAGGTGGTAAAGGGAACTCAGATTTGGACACTCCCATTTTAAATACGGGTCTTTGTAATCTGCATTTTTATACTACAGTTATGAACTGCAGACAAAGGGTCTGTAAATGCCAGTAAAAATACTTTGGGAAGGGAGGACTTTGGGCTTATTCCTGCAAAACATGTTTTTTTCAGTGAATTTTTATGGCCTATAAAACCCAGAAACTTTTCATTGATTTTTACTAAGTGCTCTACTTATAACTAACAATATGACATGGGTTGATGATGGGTATTCAAGATATCTCTCATTTTCTATTCCCTAATTAATCCAAAGGGCAAGAAGTTTTTGGCTTTTTTTTCATAATGGGACAATAATCTGATGATAAGTATTCCCGACCCATGAATGCTCTCAAGGCTATGCCCAATTGCCACTCAAGTTTTCAAGATATAAACATATCCTGTGTAGATGTAAACTTTCTGAATCAGGCACTGTTATGTAGTTTCATACTATTGTCCTTGTTCCAAAAGATACATCCTCTTTTGACAAAACTCACCTTTTCTTTTTAGGTAGGATACAGTTTCCTTCATTACTGGGGGGATTAGTTCACCTTTATTTTTGTCCTTGATACTGTTAGGAAAAAAAAAAAAAAAAGGTAACAGCCTTTAAATAGCATTTATAGATAAAGAATCAAACCAAGACAGAGCAGTCTCAATGAAAACATGAGAGATACCTGAGAGCACACATGGCAGAGGGATTGGACTAGATGATCTCCAGAGGTGCCTTCCAACCATAATGATTCTGTGATTAAATTTCACAACTTAAGGAGCCTGCACCAAATATGAGTCCTCCACAACTCTAACAGGCCCTGAACAAGCCATTGAAACAAGAGGCTTGGACTTATATTCAAAGAGCTGTTCCTAAACATTTTCTTCTTGCTAGAAAAGCTGTATAACTGCAACAGCACTGAATCATAGAATCATAGCATGGTTTGGGTTGGAAAGGACCTCAAGATCATCTAGTTCCAACCCCCCTGCCATAGCCAAGGGCAATTCATACTAGACCATGTTGCTCAAGGTCCTGTCCAACCTGACCTTGAACAGTGCCAGTGATAGAACATCCATATTTCCTTGGACAACCTGTTCCACTGCCTCACCACCCTCACAGTAAAGAATTTCTTCCTTGTACCTAGCCTAAATCTCCCCTGTTTAAGTTTGAAGCCATTACCCTTTCTTCTATCACTACAGTCTCTGATGAAGAGTTCCTCTTCAGCATCCTTGTAAGCCCCCTTCAGATATTGGGGGCCTACAATATCTATTTATCTGTAAAATAAACAAGTGCTGTTTACTGGCCTGAAGGTGAATCAAGGAAAGAGCATACGAATGATGTTCCAGGCTAACTTTGCATCTACTTGAGATTGGTTTTGCTCTAGTTCTGTTCCCCTCATTTGGCATGCCCCAGTAGGGCTGCTTTTAACCATGATGCAGTGACAGAAGTGGTGGTGGCTCTGACTGGATATAGTTGGACACTGTTCATGGAACAGGGTTTCAAGACAGCTTAGAGGCAGGCAAGGAAAGAGTGCGCAGTAAATGATTCATAATAAGTCTTGATCAGGGGATGCTGCAAATTTAGGGACCTTTTATCATGCAGATTTTTCTTTGTCACTTGTCTCTTTTTAAGCCACAGTGTATGTATAATTAAAAGGATATTGTGCTATTTATTTTGAAGTGATGCAGCAAGATTATTAATGCTTTGAATGACTTCCATGAAATGGGATTTCTTTCTTGTATGAGTGAACAGTTGAGGCAAAAAACTGAACATAGAATTTTCTTGATCTAGACAGTGTAAAAAAATCTGCAATCATATTTCTTATTTAAAAAAGAAAAAATCTTTAACAGTTTAAGAAGTATAACAAAAGAGATGGTCAGATTTGCTGAGTATTCTGCCACATTTTAAGAGTAATCCACAGCAAAATAAAGGACCAATCTCAGATTTTAAAGCAGATTTAATATGTATTTATGTGTACAATTTCATATTTGATACTTAAAAGGTGACCAACTTTACAAAGAAACTGTAAAGCAACAGCACGAAACAGCACAGAGATCTGTGACTGTATCATGAGAGGCTACAAATGCTGCAGCTCATCCACAGAAAATGCAGGATGTTTATACAACATGTAAACATAGCCTTAACCTAGTCCTACTAGTTGAGGTTGCACCTCCAGAGGTCTTTGGGTCTTGTTCTTTTCCATGTATTATGATTTCCACTATTTCTGCCTAGGCTTGCTTATTGCTTTATTAACATGAACCAACTAATAATAACTGGAGTATATTTAATAAAATTCTGTAACACTGTTGCATGGAAGTAGCAATCCACTATTATATTTTGTTTACACTACACATAAAACCTACTTTAAGATAAATGTTACAGCAACATAAGTCAGCATGGATGGGTAGGGAAACTGTCAAATTGTCCCACCTCCTCCTATTTGCTTTTCCTATGCCTGTGGTAGGGAGTTACGAGAAGATATGTGGACTGCTTAAGTTTGGATCTCCAAGCTTTGGAGGTTGGTCACCCCCAGCTTCACATATAGGGTTAGTGGGGGTATTTCTCCAATGGAAAGACACGGAGCAGGATCATGACTTAGGTACTGAATCACTCTGTGGTTTTGCCCCTCTTACTCATAAACTGACAGGAGAATATACTTCATGCTATTCAGTTATTCAGCCATCAAATATTTTGACCTCATTCATCACTCCAGGGACACAATGCTGAGCCACCAGTGACATTTCTTCCAGTTACATTTTCATTGCCTTCCCAGTCCTACTCCTCCTCTTCTCTATTTTCACCATCCAATTTCATCCCTAGCACTAATATCTGTGCGTCTGTATGTTACCCAGATTCTCGCAGACCGTACGTTTTTTTTCCTCTACTCTGTGTCACTTCCCTAGTGCTACATAAAACAATGCAACTTGTTATGTAATTATAATAAACTTGTTAATCCAGCTCCCAGAGCTTGTTGTTCTACTATTTCAAATACTTAGTCCAACCTACTGTTTGAAAGGAAGTAAACTGTTCTCTCAGCTATAGAACTAATGAAGTTGATCTGCTATGGATTTGTATCCTATGTTCTACCTCTTTCCTCATCATAGCAATCTGAGTTAATTTCCTTATGTCTCTATAAACTCACTTCCTTTACAGAGTATTTTAATTTCCTACCCTCACCTCTTCATCTCATATTTCCTCATAAGGTAAGGAGTAGCTCATAAATAATGACCATTTAAACACTAACTAATGCACCAGCACACCAGACAACTGAACCTGGAGTTCCTGCTATAGCTTCTCTCCTTCCAGCCAATGATTTTTAAGAGCTTGTAGTATTTGTGAAAACTCTACTCCTTTGTCAAATTTGGTTGATGCAAGCCCGTAGCTCTCCTGTGAGCCTTACTAAAAATCAATTAATTGAACAATATTTTCCTGCTCTTTACAACAAAGTATCCATACCAGAATCCAAAGTGTATAAAATTCAATACTGTTCTATATGTGGGCTAATACTATTTTGCAGACACTGCTATAACTCCTCTAACAGGAACTGTTTGGGAAAGGGGAATTTTCCTTGATGTGAACAGACAAATTTTGATGAAAAAAATTTAGCCAAGTTTCACAAAACTATGTTCATAGCATGATAATTTTAGACATTTGACCACATAAATTCTACAACGTATGCTAAGCGCTTGCAGGAAGAAACAGATTAACAGCAAGGAATGAGTTTAATTCAGATAATCCTGAAGTATGATTTTTAAAACATTAGTAATTCTCATTATTTTCTACTGCTTGCATGAAATGATCTTTACATGAAACTGTACAATTTCTTGTCCTTACACATTAGGAAGGCACCATTAATTTTAGTATGAAACAGTACTGGACTTGCTGGAGTAATCATTCTCTGTAGTATCATAACAAAATGATAATGGCCAGAAGAAAGATTTATAACCTGACTTGTGAGACCAAGTCCAACCTCAGCCTTCCCCCTTATCACAGATATCTTATTAGAGCTAAACCAGAGCCCATAAGTGCTTCATGAGAAAAAAATCACTCATTAGGAAAGGCCATGGACTGAAATGCTACCAGGACCAAGTTTATGACCCAGTCCTCAGAGCAGCGTCCTCTTCTTGTCCACAGTGACAATCAGGTGCCTATGCAAAATATCTCTCCTAGCAGCAAAATCCTCTCAGCCCCTTTCAGGATATGTACCCCATCACTCCTAGACTCTTACAATCTTACAGCATTTTCACACACGCTGGTGATACTGTAAGAGTGGAAGGTCAGCGTTAGTGTTACAACCAAGCAGGAATTGAGCAGCGCTCTCAGACCCAGGTTGTTCTCCCCTTCCTCCTGCTTTCCACCAAGACCCTGGAGAGGAAAAATTAACAAGCAACTTTGCTTCAGTACCATGAGTTCTCTTACCATCCCCTGTAGAAGTTGGTCACAGCAAAGGAGACAGAGCCACACAAATGCAGAACAAATGAACACCCTACCCTACTCTGAAAGACAGTTTCTGTATGTGAATTACTTTCTCTCACAGCAGATCAGTTGTATAACAACCCTGCTGCAACAACATAGAACAAAACAGGCAGTGACTGTGCAGCTCCATTAATAAATTAGCCTTGCTAATAAATCACACAAGTAAGGAAGTTTTAGTGCTTGTTTGCACATCATGCAAAGTTGAAATTCCCAATAAAATTGTAACTCTGGGTGCTGGACTAAACAAGAAAAGGAGCTGGGAGATGAGGTCAGTACCGAGGTCAATATTTAGGATACCAGCGAGGAAAAGCCTGCAGCAAATCAAGTTAGGGGAAAAAACAAAAAATCCCACCACATTTATTTTAGCCTTTCTAATAGGGGAGTTATAACACAGTCTTTATGTGTCAAATAATTTTGTTCCAGGTATTCAAATCAGTACTCTAAACATTTAGGGCAACTTTTATTAAAATTAGTCGAAAGCCTAATTCACTTAAATGGGAACATCATCAAGACTTTAATTTGCTTGGAAGCTGTTACATCTTTATTATTGACAATTTAAGCTCATGGAACCCATTCTCAGCCTCTCTGAAGTTGCTCTGATTGTTTTTGCTTTCTTACAGCTGCTCACTCCAGAGGCACCAAATAACAACCCAGCAGCTTTTTATAAATGTTTTCTAATTATTATTGTTAGCCATAAATGTGTTTCCCATTTCAGTGTATAAATAGCAAACTGATTATTTACAGCACTCGCTCCTGCTGAGCACTAGTTTATCTGTCAGAGAGGCGAGACAAATAACTGGGTTGTAATTTGTAATAATAAAACCTACACATCATTTTTCTTTTTTCTAGGAAAAAAAAGATACCTTTTCTGCACTTCTACCATTTTCTATAGAATTCCTGTTTCCTTTGAAGGAAAGGTTCCATTCCCGGTACAATGAAAGAGGTCCTCAGGATAAATGGCATTTTAAAATAAGAGTAGGATATTCACTGAAAGTCACATGTAAAGGATTGTTCTGCTTTTGCAACACTGAGAAAAGCTGGGATGTAAGTTTTCATAGCATTTCACAATGTGGGACACAGCATTTGGTTTACTGGACCTAAGGTGACAGAAAATAATAAGGACGTTACTTCAGCTAATGTAAATCAGACCAGCTCAGAGGTCAATGAAATTACACCTCTATCCTCTCTTTGTGGATCCTGTCAAGTAATCTGCATTTTTCTTGCCTTGTTCAGGATGGTGTGATGAGCAGCTGTGCTTTATGATGGACAATGTGAACTGACATTGGAGATCAGGCACTACAACGGGCAATTTGAAATGAGCGATCTCTTTCTGCTTAAGAAGCAAGCATAACAGAGCATTTCAGTGCACAGTATAGTTTTCTGTAACTGATTCACAGATCTGAATTGTATTGCAGCAACATGTCAGATTCAAGAAGGATCTATTCTAGTAAACACAGTAGCCAGAGAAAATGAGTACTTCTCACTAAAGGATATATGATTAGTTACTGCAACACGTTATATATGCAATGACTCGTTTCTAGACTCGTTTCTATCACGAAAGGCCTTTATATGTTGTTCTGAAGTGTCATTAAGTATTCTTGGCTGTTAATCTTTGTCTCTGCTTTTCCTCTCCTTTTCATTTTTTCCCTGCTGAGACATGCTGAGATTTGGTTTAGAATGCATTCTTCCTTGCTGGTCACGCATGTACAGCATGCACAAGCGGAAAGATTATGACCAAAAGGAAAGCACCCTGAAATGTCTATGATAACAATTCAACAAACAAAAGCTGTATAGTTGTAGCAATTCTGTGCATTTTCTCTGCCTCCCTCTCCCCATCCATATCAATAGATAGAAAACCAAAACATTTCCTGTCTTCCCAAAAAAGATATTTAATTTTAGATTTCAAAACCAATTGGAGAAAACAGAACAATGTCAATAGCTGGTGAAGGTCAACTCTGTGTTCTGTGGTAGAGCTCAGCTGTAACCTTCCTTGATTACAGAGGCAATTGGGTGCAGCAACAGAGGTTTATAGGAGCACACTGAACATACAGCAGAGGACAATGATGCTGCTTAGCTCATATAGGTCAATTATTAATTCCTTTAAAGTGTTGCAAATTTAGGAAGCTTCATTCACAAATTTTAACTGTGTTTATCTATCAGTATAGGCGGAGGGTTCTCCAATTTTTTCCTTACCTTTTTAAACATAAAATCTTTTTAAATTTACTTTTAGAATCAAAATCCTGTTTTCACCATGACATGCAGTGCAAACTAGTGAGGATATATTCTGAATAGCTAACTCCTGAAAGTCTACATTTTGTGTGTGACAGTAGCACTGCTGAAAGAACAGAAAAATAGTCTTGCTATATCAACAAAATCCATGAATATTCTTTGACATGTCTGAATTAATAAAAGTGATAGCTACTGGTGAGTAACAGAAAGTAATTTTCATAGTACTGTTGTACTCTCCTCTGTAAGTCTCTGACAGCTACAGGCTGGGACATTATGCCTGAGGAAGTATCATTATACACTTGCCCTGTTCTAACACTGTTCCCTGCTGCCATCCGCTACTGCCCCTTATTAGAGACATGACATGAGGCCTGATAAACCTTTCAACTAGCTGTCGTGGTTTAAACCCTGTTGGCAAGTCAGCCACGCAGTCCACTCCCTCACTCCCCCCACCTTCTCCTCCTCCTGCCCCCACTCCCGGAGGGACCAGGAGGAGAATCGAAAGAATGTAACTCCCATGGGTTGAGATAAGACCAGTCCAGTAACTAAGGTATAACACAAACCACTGCTGCTACCACCAATAATAATAATGATAAGGGAAATAACAAGGGGAGAGAATACAATACCACCCGTCGATACCAAGCCCGACCAAGCAGTGAGCCAGCCCTTCCGAGTAACTCTCTGTTACATCCTGGGCATGATGTGCTGTGGTATGGAATACCTCTTTGGCTAATTTGGGTCAGGTGTCCTGTCTCTGCTTCCTCATGGCTTCCCCTCCTCCCTGACAGAGCATGAGACTCAGAAAGTCCTTGGTCAGACTAAACATTTGAGCAGTAACTAAAGACATTGGTGTTATCTGAGCTGTTCCCAGGCTGAAAGTCAAAAACACAGCACTGCACCAGCTACTAAGAAGGAGTAAAAAAGACTGCTACTGCTAAACCCAGGACACTAGCTCATTATGGTTGTTATTCTCCTCACTCTAACTGCATGTAAGAAGCTCAAATTAGCAAGTTAGAGAGGGACATCATAAACCCTAAACATGCAAGCTGTCCTACCCAATCTGTACTACACATTCTTAAGTACCTGTCAAATCTGAATATGGATTCCCATTACATTAAAAAAGAAAAAATTAGTCACTTTGCTCTTCTAGTTTTTAATTATATATCTGAAAAGCAAATGTATTAACCCATATAAACTGAGAAAAAGGTTACATGAGGATGGGTTACCAGAGAGAGCATTGCCTGCTGCCTTTATGGAGGCAAATTCAAAGGGCTATAGCTTTACCACTTTCCACAGCCAGAAGACTCGGGTGCCATTACCAACCATCTTAGCAAACTCAGGCCACCTATAATGGCCTTAGATATATCTTATTCACCAGTGTTTTACTGACTGAACAGAAATCATTATCCCATAGGTACTGAATCTGATGAAACCTCAGGCCTATGGACCTTACTATTTCTTTTCTTAAACTGAAGAAAAAGACTCCAGAGAAACAATTCTTTAACAACAGCAGCTTTATCTCAGCAGTACCTCTGACAGTACCATTTTTACTAACTGTAATGAAATATACAGTACACATATTCCCATAAGCCTATACAAAATAAAATAATTCTCCCTGTAGCTCTCTTCAGGAAAGGAAAGAGCCTCACCCAGAACATGACTTCAAGCCTGCCTCTTTGCTAGACAGGTGGGAAGTCACTGCCATTTTGTCATTATAGTCTATAGAGATCATAACGGGAGAGGGAATTAGAAAATGCAATTCATTTATCAGATGAAAGTTGATACATTTTTTGTTCAGATTTTAGAAGCTCCCAACACATACCATTCCCTCTCCACTAGCTTTACCTTTCTTCGCAAACACAGTCAAAATTAACACCTTTATTTCTCATTTATGAGTTCTAGGGGACTTCTTTATTTGTAATTTTTTACTGGTGATGGGTCACTCTCTCTTCTGCAAGAAGAAATTCAGACAAGGGTGGACAAAGAGAAGGAACAAATATCCTTATGTACATCCACTTTGGACATGTGAGTGCTGTGAACTGCACCCACATATGGAGGGCAGCTGTCTGTCAGCGCCTCCATCACTAGCACTGGAACTCTCTGGGACAAAAATGACAGTAATACCTCTCTCGGTGTTTCTCCACCCACAGATATTCCACAGAAAAACTCTGTAGGAAATATCCACCTTTTTTATACTTAGGGAAAGTTAAGGCATGCAGCAAGGATGTGATTTGCTGATGGTAATTCACCTGGAAAGTGATAGAGCTAGGAAGGGTGGTCACCACAGCCTCAACATGTGCAGCCCAATGAAAGACACTGTTCACTCTTCAGGCACAGTCAGAGAAGTAAAATATGGCTAGCCTATAGTAAGAGCGGCATATAACACGCTGTCTGATTGCATAAGCCTGCGAGAAGTTTGACAGAGCTGCTTGACAGCCAGGCTAAGCTGGAGGCAAGTGACAATATGCCCTGATGCCGGCAAACAGTCCTGGTTTTACTATTGCAGCAGCAGCATAAAACATTGCCCGTCTTAATGACCTGGTGGAACCCACCTAAAAGATATTCTCTGAATTAGGGAAGTGAGTTAGCCATGTTCCAAGTGTTAGGTTGAACTCTAAAGAGGTATCATAAAAGTTAATGTCATAGTAGCTCTTACACAATAGATATTGATTGTGCTAATTTCAGGCTTTCCAGAAAGGATTAATGCTTAACATTTAACCAGGGGAAAATTGTATTTTATGTCTCATTTACAACTGAATCATTAGAACCAGAAAAGTAGATGGGGGGTGGGAAGTGGGAGGATATTCGACAAATGCCCAAGTGTCAGACTAAACTGCCTTTGCTGAATGTGAACAATATTCTTCAGCTGGTTTTGAGAAAGATGCAATAGAAAGAGGTCAGAAATGACTGTGGGTAGGAAGCTAGAAGGTTTTGTGTGTTTGTCATTTTTTACCAAAATTGAAACTTGCAAGTACTATTGCAATCCCATTCCTTGTGTAAAGTAAAACATTTTTTATACCACATACAGTGCTGTAATCTATGTAAACAGCTGTGAGGGCATTTATGGAAGAGAGTGATTTTATTCATTTCATAAAATTCTGATCAGAACAATATGTGAGCAACAAAACAACAATATATAAAGGCTAAAGGATCCATTTTAGCTTTATGAAGCCATTTTGGAACCTGAGAATTTGTTCTGGTTTTCCTATCCAAAAAATATATCCAAAACACTTTCATACTGCCAGCATCCAACAACAACAGATTAGCTCAGGACTCTGTCATGTACAGGCAAATTTCTGTCCACTGGGAGAAAAGTTGTGCAGTCATGCTAGCAGTAAGTACCAAAAAAGATATTGTAAATGTGAAGATCACACAGGTCACTGGGACTATGAGACCTATCCTGAATGCATAAAACCTATTGTCTAGCAGCATAGTTTTGTGGTTTTCAAAGAAAATGAGAAACTAAGCATATAATAAATAGAATATTTGCAGGCTTTCTGTCTGGTAAATCTGCGCATCACAGAAGGCTGCAGTGTATAGAAATATGATATTTCAGAAATCTCATGGCTTACTATTGCAAGCTGACTCCAAATTGCTGGGTAGGTAGAGGTGGCCGTGGAGGAGGCACCTTAACCACAGGTGACAGTTTACCCTTCTGTTTCCTCCGAAGATTTTCATCATGTCTGCAAAAATCAAGAAATCATTGATTTTCTGTGCACCACAGATGACAGACTATATGTATGAACAACTACCAGTATTGTTCTTGATGCTGATCTCCTGACAGTGTATATTACTATTACAAAACTTGCATTTAATTTAAGCATTAGAAACATTTTTAAGTAGTACTTATGGTAGAATACTGAAATAAGACAGAGAAAAGCTCTTTTGCTTCAGCAAATGGAGCATAGTAATAAATGTGTCCAAAAAAATAGAATGTATTATAATTCAACAGCAAAATCCAAACCTATCTGCTACTCAAAATACAACTCCCCTTTCTTTGGCAAGCATGCAATCCAATCTATAGCCTTAGAGCTGTAACATATTTTCTGTTATTCCATATTTACACAAAAGGTGTGTAAAAACCCACCAGGCATCAATAACAGTCATAATCAAAGCTTCCAGTTACTTTCATTCAGCAGTGACATAAAATCACTTCCTGTCAGTACATCAAAGCATTTCCATGTAAAGCACTGTGTCGAAAAGACTGTTATTGATACTAACACTGGCACTCAACAATTCCAGCCCTATGCATTTCTTTTTCTCTCCTGCTCCCTCTTTAATACTTCTCCGTAATGCACATACATGCACAAAATAAAAGTAATGGATCCACTGACAGTAGATGTATCCATGTAGCTTGAAGTCAATTAACACTTTGCTAACTGGGAATGCTTTTAGCAAAAGGAAGTCACTTAACCTGTTACAATATGCAAGCAAAAGGGTCAGGATTACACTTTTGGCCATGAACATCACGTGATACTCTTAAGCAGTACTGGCACATGGATTGGTTTCATGAACACTCACACAGCTGCAATTATACTAAGAAAATGCTCCACAGCTGAGATGGAGATATCCCAAATCTGTAGAAAACTATATAACATTTCTTCTCTAAACACCTGACACACTTCAGCAGATCTCTGATGGCAATGCAGCTTTTAGAATTAAATCCAACCAAGCACAAACAGGTAAATCAGGCTTTTAATCACTGAAGAACTAGGATTAGATTCTTATTGAAATACAGTGAACAAGATGAAACTGTACTTGAGAGAAGGCGAAACAATGTATTTTAAACTTGTCACGTACCGGATGACTTCTGGAGGGATATTTAGCTGGTCATATTTGAGATGCTCCCTGAGGTCACTTAGATAGTTCAAGTAGGTGATTTTCTTCCCAAACTTATGGCTAAAACCCCCCCCCAAAAATCACAAAGAAGTATAAAAATCAGCATGGAAGGAACATTTATGAAGGGTTTAGTTTCTATTACAAAAATGTAAGTGCTGATGCAACTCAAAAATTAGACTGTAATTGAAGCAGCAGGAGATGTAAGATGTATTTCATTTCATATGATCAAACATATACAGTGCACGGCTGAGGGTCTGATTTGAAGAAAAATAACTGACTTCCATCTGAATGTTTTTTGTTTTGCATAGATATGAAAAACAGTACTCTAAAAGCCACTAAAACCCAGGTTTCACACAGCATTAGAAAGCTCACTAAAAACCCATTAACTTTAGAGAAAATGTTACACGGCCAACAGAGCAAAATGTGTTATTTAGGCATACCTCCCACCAAAAGACAAAGTAATTGGGCTGTAGACACAAACTATAAAGTAGGAAGTGACAGAAAAGATTTCCACAGCCTGGATAATGTATATCCTTGAGCAGCTTTATCCATTTTGAGAAGGACTAGATAGCTTCTAGGAAACATCCTGAATAATAAGGTTTTTCTATGACTTGTTCAAAACAGACTTCCAAACTTGAAGCACCAAGTATCACTAGTTAGGTCTTGACTTTCGACAGAATATACTACTTTACTGGATGAGGTGTTCAAACAAGGCTTAGTGACACATTTATACAGATGGCCTGAAAGAATTTCGTATTTTTCCACAACACAAAATATCTGCCCTGTAATGAAGTGTCAAGCAAAATAACAGGTATTTATGATAAAAAGTATACTTTGCTCAACGTATTTTGACAGTAAAATTGGAACAAATTTCTCTCGCATTAATGGATTTATCCCTGGCTTGTCAAATACACATACACACGCTCCCTCTAGTGGGAGATGGTACAAGTGTTATGTCACTTTTAGCATTTTAGCTTTTATTTCAAATGAGCTAAATTTTGCTGCCAGGCAAGTGATTTTGGGACTGATGGGCATCAGTCTGTGGGTGTACAACTTCAGAGCTCTTCTGTATTTCTTTTATTCAAAAATAGAGGGCAATTTCAATATCCTACCTAAGCCACAGGCTAACACTCTCAGCTAGCTCTCAGCTAATCACCTCTGGTAGGGCATGTTACAGATACACATAATTTGTAACCAAATTGTGGGCATTTAGGAATTATTGCTGTGCCTTGAAAAGGCCACATCACCACCACATTGACCTAAATGTATATTATATTCCTTTTATAACAGGTGGGTGTCTTCTTTTAGCTCACACATAGAAAAAAAACAACCAACCAAAAAAAAAAAAACCTTGAAAAAAAAAAACCTTGGAAAAACAATATCCAATAGATTTTTTTTTCCCCTTTTTTTTTTGTGACCTTTAATATTGACACTTAAATAAAAGCATGATCTACTAGAATAAGATTATTCTAGGCTGGAAAGAAAAGGTACTGTGAACAAATTTTAAATTGAAGCATTCTAGTAAATTAACACCGTTCATAAGTTTTAGTTTTCAATGAGTATAATTTAGGCAAATTGTACATGGACAGTTTCACACTTCAGTTTTAAAATGATAACCTTCCATTTTCCCTTATTTGACAAACCCACACTTAAATCAACCCAAAGCACTTCTTTATAAGTGAGCATTTGACAATTAAACTATTTTAAGGAGTAAAGAGGAGGGGTTTTTCCTAGCTTCAGCTAATTCCTGCCTTCTGGCTTATGGACCTTTTCAGAACTTGCTCAGACTTTCAATTATTTTGTCAGCTCCAGTGGTCACATATTTTAACAACAGTGTTACTAAATTAGACTCAGAGCAAGTGTCCAGGTAGACACTGGTAAAACAGGAAAAACAGGAGCAGCCATCCCAATGAAAGCAGGGTGTTCAGAAGGTCAAGATGCTGCCCTTTTTGATGATGCCCTAAGATGATAAGCCTAATTTTCTATACTAGATATAAATGCTTAAGCTTATCACGTTCATCCATTTTCACATTCCATGTAAACAAGGATTTAATGGCCAGTGTATCATGCTGTTCTGAGAAAAAAAGTATTCCTCTTATTTACAGAGACATAGTAAGAGCCAAGGAAAATAAGTATTTGGAACAGGAACCTCTAAAGTTTTCTTTTGTAAGAGTTAGCAGCCAATGACTACTCCAAGTCAAATAGCACAGCTGTTGTCCAACTATGACTCCACTGAGTGCAGTAATAGGGTCAGATTGAAAACTGTTAAGTGTCCTAGAACTTCTTGCCTGGAGCTCTCAGCTGCCTCTTGAGAATAAGTTGGTTTCACCTGAGTGTTTTAAACTCTGTCAAGAGATTTTCTGGTCTTTGTTTTTTGTATTTTTTTTTCCTAGAAAGCTCCCCATACCCATCACAAATCAGTAACAAAAAAATATCTATCCCCATTCCTGAGGCACCATCACCTAGTGGACATCCTGCTTCTGTCACACTTTTCTAACTACTGCTTTATGTCCTGGATCTCTGGCATTTATTTTAGTGCCAGTTAAAATAAACATCTATCGTTAGTCTTCCCATTTCAAGAGCAGCATGTTCTGCATGATTTTTAGCTGTAATTACTTTTTTCTTTTCACACACTTTTTACATGCTCTGATCAGTCTAGAAATTAAACTTTCCCTTTCTAATTAACTAGCTTTCTACCAGTCAGAAACTGAATTATTTGCAAGCTACTGTAATGGACATTATTAGTTGGTTCATTATGGCTTCTCAGAAAAAGTTGGTTTTGTCCTCCAGCCCTGAGGACATTCAACTGCAAAATAGAACTACTTTTGAAATTACAGAAGTTCAGGAGCAGAAACTAGGAAAGCCCAACCACCTTAGCTCTTAGAAATATCTGCCCATTGTTGCCAGTTCCTTGTAGGTATCATCAACTTTTAGAATGCAAAGGAACAAATGCACCAGTAAAATACATTCACCTTCACTATTATACCTTCCATTTCAAATCCCTATGGGCACTTCAGGACTTATCCATTAACTTTGAACACAAAAGTAGTAACATTCCTATTCGTCTCAGCAGTTGAGATCAGCCTGAGTCTGATTTATTATCTGCTTTACCATACTACCTTGTAATCTGTCATGGACCTGGTTCTATTGTGCTAAGTGCTGTCAAACAGGACAAAAAAAGTCATTCATGGTCCACAGAATAACTACATTTTAAAGTAATATTTACTTTAACACACCAGTAATACTACTGTGAATTGAGCCTCCCTTTTCTTAGAATTAAAGAACTCTACCCTATTATTCACACCCAAACTTAAGCTCACCTTACTCATTAATTTTAGACAGTTTAAATGGGTATTGTGCTGTTATGTGACATATTTTACTTCAAGGCTTTTTAAAAGCAACTTAGAGAACAAACCACCTTAAACTAAACTGAAAAATGTGTTGAATAAACTGCCAAGTACCTTATAAGAGGTTTAAAGAGATTCCACAGAATTTTTATGAAGTTGGTTGGATGTACAACATAGAGTGCTTTAAGGTTTTTCTTATACCTAGGAAACGAAAATGAAATTGTTAGAAGACTGTTGAGCATCATAGATGGTAGAAATGAATAGCTGCAACTGAATGGGAGGTATTATCACATTATACAGCATTCTTTTCAAACACATTAAAAAGACCTAATTCAGAAGAAATCGAACGTAAAATGAAGCCCCCCTCCCTAAGTTAAAAAAAAATGGTCAGTATTGGTGACACAATAGTAGGCCAAGGTAACACTACTACATTCCTAAACAATGTCTGCTGTCTCACAGATTTAATACCAAGGGTGCAGAAGTGGGGAAAAAGAAAGTATTAAGAAGAGAATGAAAAATCTACAAACAATTACTTCATCTCCTTTTATTTCCTACTTACAGGAGTTTCAGGTTGGAGAAGATTTCTAAACTTTCAGATGTAAAATTTACACCTAATCTTCTATTTTTACCACTACCTTTGTCTTGTTTTGTTTATAATTACTAGAGGTGAAGCCAACTCCATGCTGTATTGTACTGAACAGTCCCCTTTGTATGAAACAAAACCCTTTCCTCACTGTATCTTTGCTTGATTCTACACTGTCATATCATGACACATAAACAACAGATTCTAGTAGGCTGGAATTGAAATGGAAACCAGGCTGCACAAAAAGACTTTGCTCTTATTCAACATTATTGCAAAATGAAATTAAGAAAGACACATAATGAAATATCCTGCTTTTATATATAAATTGTTGGTTCTTACTTTGCTAAGTTTGCTCCCCAAAGCATTCACCACTTGCTGTTACGAAACAATGATCGTGAGCTCCAGAGAAAACCCCTCTTCTAACAGGTTATGAAGAGAGAGGGAAAAGGAACTAAGACAGCAATTGTAACAGTTCTTTGCTTTGGGTTTTAATTGGGCCCATACATCTTTGAATGACAAAAGCAACTTTTTCACAAAGCCACTATCATACACAAGCAAATAATTACCCCTGTGCATTTGGCACCACTGTGGACAAGAACCCAGAATCAACAATAAAAACTAACAGGGAAAACTCCTGAATAGTTTTACTGATGTTTCCATTTTGTTTTGTATGTTGAAGCAACGGGCATAAGTCATTGCTATTTCCTGGATTACAACTGAACGTCCAAAAGACTTTACTAAGCCTCTGCTATAAACCTTCAAAACAAGATCTATTCTTTTGAAACTGTTCCCACTGAACATCTGCTTTCATGATGCTAGCTAATCACTATCATCCTCTGTACTCTTCTCTGTCCTCTTTTTCCTTTGACTCCAAAACATACACAGGGAAGAAGTCTGAAAGGTGCTACTTTTGGGCTTTTTTTTCCTCTGGCTAGTATAGTTAACACACATGCTGGATTGTGAATGTTGCTTTGAGCTTCTCAATGACAGTATACTAAGACATTCCAACTGTGAACAAAATGATGGGTGCATGGTTTTGTCTGGCTACCTGAGCTTCTCTGTTCCTCTTTGGTCCTCCTGCTACCTGGGCCGTGGTGGGGGAATGAAGAGAACAGATGTCTGGCATAAATGACAGTCATACTGTCCACCTGTAGGCATTGCCAAAGGCAACAAAGAAGATACTGCCCATGTACTACCTCTCCCCATACAGCAACTGTAAATTTGACCTGGGATTCTCTCAGAAGGCAAATGGTACAATGTTTTATTTTCAGAAATTGTCAATGCATGGTAAAAAAAAAAAAAAAGTATTGTAGTCCAAATCTCTTGTCAAAGACAAAATGTAAGGAAACTTTTGCCTTTCTTCTCCCTTACCCAGTCCCAAAAAGAACAGATAGATGGTACTAACAATATTCAGAAACCTGCTAGCAAAAATAAGCTTTTTTGGTCTGTTTCTGAGTGGAGAGCAGTATCTCTTGAAAGCAGTTAGAGGCTTCAGATGACAGCTTCCCACTGCTGTTCTGGGAGCTGCTAAGCACAACCTCATCTTCTTGCTTACTGGGTTTGAGAGTATTAGGAGGTTATTGGGTGACATTCACGAAAGTCTGAGCTCTGTCACTAAACTAACCTGAGGTGGTGTGTACATCTCAACTTCAATTTCCAAAGTAAGGTTTGGTATTTCACTGGCCCTATTCCCAGTCTAGTCTAGAAATACCCAATAATCTTTTTCACAGTTTTTTTTGAGATCTGCTTCTTGTTTCAGCTCCCAAATTGGAAAAATCAGACACGACCCATCTCACCCAACATACACATGCACACACACATACACTCTTACTATCAGGAAAGAACTATATTTTTACTTTCAGTCATGTTGCCTTCTTGAGGCCAACTTGCAAACAAGTAACTTTCAAACACGTAAAAAACTAACTGATCTCAATTGGAACTTTCTGCTTTGTTCATAAGCATGCGCTTTCAGAGAATAAACATCAGAACTTTAGATTCTATCTACCTAGAAGCTTTGGCCTCAACTCACCCTAACCAACTAACCCATGAAGTTATGAGCCATAATCACTGCTGTTCCAAAGGTCAGGCATATACAAGCACAGCTATCCCTCTGGGGCTTTACAGGTAACAACCAACAAATGCTGCAAGGCCTGTGAGAAATGGACTGTTAGAAACTTATCTTTCCTGGTTTTGTACACATGTAGCCTTGGGATGATCAAAGGTTCAAAGACAGCTGTGAGATAATCAAGAATGATGACCAACAAAGTGCCACAGGTATCTTGTCAAATAGTGCACTGAAAAGGCAACAGCTCTTGGTTTTGTTCCGAAAGCTTTTTATCCCTTTGCATAACCACCAAAGCACTCCGGCCATTCCTTAGTGCTGCACAGAAGACACAAGAGAACCAACTGCACATATATCATTGTAAGAATTTGCAATGGCAAAATGAACTCAGTTAGATGTGGACAGATGAGGAAAGATCTGCTTCCTTCATGGAAGTTAGTTACAGACATAACACAACCCAAAGAGTAAGCCAAATATTTTGGGGACATACTTCCTGTCAAATTCTTTGTAGGCTGTTTGTAACCATTTCAGAGATGGTTTATTCACACTTTTCAGGCCATAGTGAAAGTAGACAACTGTATAATCATTTTCTACATACTGGTCCAGAGTATACTTTAAGTACCTGAGGAGAAAGATAACATTTTAGTTTTAAGACAGTTTACTAGATGAGATTTTTAAAGCAGTAACTGAGAAAGAAAATGTGCTATTTTTGCACAGAACACTAGTGACTGCAAATTTGTATATGCTTCAATGTATTTATCTGACAAGTTCCTCTTGCTCTAGTGGCAATGTTGCCAATAATTCCACATCACTGCAAAGCCTGAAATATGAAAGAATGTGTATTGTTACAAAAACTATGGTGCCCATGAATCACTAAAAGATGAAGACAATGTGGGACTGAATTTTTCAAGAAATTTTTAAAAATATGCATTTTAACTGGCAGCAACTTTATTTTCCTTTCTTGTTGTCTTTGTAAATTCCTTCCTTTTAGCCAAGCAAACAATGTCATTTTTCACTTTTCAAAACAATAAATAAAAAAAAAAAAAATCTATCTCCTGTGAAAACAGGTTAAGATCTTGAGTTGGGGGTGTTCAGCCTGAAGAACAGAAGGCTCTGGGGAGACCTTATAGCAGCCTTCCATGGTCTGCAAAAAGTCTGGAGAGGGACTTTTTACAAGGACATGTAGTGACAGGACAAAGGGGAATGGCTTTAAACTGACAGAGGGGAGATTAAGATTAGGAAGAAATTCTTTATGTTGAGGACGGTGAGACACTGGCACAGGTTGCCCAGAGAAGTTGTGTCTGTCCCATCCCTGACAGTGTTCTAGGCCATGTCGGAAGGCGAACCTGCCCATGGCAGGGGGGTTGGAACTAGGTGATCTTTAGGGCCCCTTTCAACCAAAATGATTCTATGAAATCTTGGGGTTTCCTTTCAATTTAAAATTGTCTAAATTCTTGAAAAATCCATTAGACCTAATTATTGATTACAACTTGTTACTCTAGACTGTTTTATTGAATATATTTGCCTTTCTCTTGTTTGTGTGATGGGGACTGTGTTCATACATCATTTCCCTTAAAACTAATTTAAAGAACGACAATACTTATTCCCATCTTGAAATAATACTGCATGCTTTATAAGGAGATTTCTGTGTGTTCATTCTTTTATGGTATAGTTTAAGATGCTTTTCTCTTCCCTTTCTCTTACAATTGAGAATACTGTATGGCCTATCACTCAGCTCAATGATTCAAATAAAGCAATGATGGAGGAGTACAATCTGGCTTCACTTCTTGCTCTATTAGATTTCAACTTTCTCTAGCTTATTATTCTGTGATCGAGCCCCAGCTATTGCTCTTAATTGTATGTAAGTGATTTTAATTCAATAAAATACTTAGTACCATGTGCCATTTATTAGGCTGTGGCTATCTGCAAGTATCAAGGCCGCTGTGGCTATCCAGCTTTGCACGGAAAAGATCGTAACTTCAACTCTTACACTGCACTCCCACGATCACATGTACCTGCTTATTCACTCAGCATACTGTAAATCTTAGCCTGCAAATAGCCTGGGACAAAGACTGCCACTGCAATTAATATAATGCTGGTTTGATCCCCAACTTGAGTATTAATGGTATTTTAATAGAAGTAGTAGTAACAGTCATTCAAGACTTTTTAAGAAGAGTTTGAAATTAAGAATATATCTAAATATATATTCTTACATGTGAAGTGCCTGATCTTTTATTTTACAGCATGTAAATTCCTTGGCACACTGCATCCAGAAAGCCTGTACTTGAGAGAGTTCTGTGGTTATAAAATAACCAGTATTTTTGTACAATTACTTGTTCCAATGCTGTAACAGAATTGCAGGGACATTACAAAAACTTTACCAAATCAATTCTTTTAGTGATTTTATCACAAAACACCTACCAATCTGGGCCTACTGTTCAGCTTTTTTCTCAGAATTCAACATCTGGGTTTAACTACTTAAAAACAGATCATTTCATAGTTGTATTGCTAGCTTCACATTCAGACACCTGCCTTCAGTTCTCTCTTAGCACAGACTTTCCAAGTGAATTTGATGTCAGCTCAGATACAAGAAAACATGTAAGTGTTTAAGTCCAGAAGAGCATAAGAGCCAGAAACACTAGTTTCATTGAGGTGTTTCCTCACAGAGCTGAGCAACACTTGGTAGAAATGTGGTTCCCCACACTCATCTCTTTGGCATTTCCTACTGATCACTGCAGGTAGCTCCTCCAGGTGAAAGCTGACTGGAAAGGTTCTTCCTCCTGGGGGCTAACACTCCCTCTATGCTACACGCAAAACTCTGGCTTCACACTGTGGAAATACCCTAGCTGTGAAGAGCTTAAAAGTGAATAACAAGGTCTCAAACACATTTCTTAAGTAACCTGTTTTCTAATCCTTTTCTATTTCTGAAAATATAACAGTGTTTCTGTCTTTTCCAATGACGGAGGGTACTGACAGCTGAAAGGTGCTCAAATATTTTGGCAATGGAGGCTGCACAAGAAGTCCAAATAATTTTAAAATGCTTAAAGAGGACAGGACTCTAATGGCAGAACAGATCTCCATGTAGTGACAAACTACAAGGCAAAAACATGTCCTGGTACCTTGCTTCAGCAAGTGTATAAAGAAGAATGTTGCAATTCTACATATTTACAACCTCTTCTAACACAAAAAAAAACAAACATTACAAAGTGAGACACATATAAAACAGTTAAGCATAATATACTGTACATAATGCAGATCTTTATAAAAAAGGAAAATGACTCAGATGTAAATAAGTAAACAATGCTCTTGCTGAGTGAGTTAGGACATAAAGTATAACAAATTTAGGCAAATGCTGCCATTTATGAGAATATATGTATGGAACACTAAAATACTAAAATTGCTTTTTCTTTGGTCTTCATCATAAATTCAGTTTTTAAAATATAATCAGAATCCATTAAAAAAAAAAAAAAGACTACAAGTTAATTTCAGTACACAGTGAATTGCTTCTACTAGTCAAGATTCCAGGTGAAGTAACTCTGGCAGTTTCATCTACCTTTCATACACTTATTAAAACTAGTAGGTCTTACATCCTATTTTCATTTCACTCCTTGCCTCCTGCTTCTCCTGCCTGAAACCTCATTCACCTGGAAACAAGTTAATAGGAGTTCACATATAAAATGCAAAGTAGTCCACATAGGAGATTGAGAGAAACTTACTCCAGTAATCTGGTGTGATTGAGCTGATGGGAAGGGGGCATACGGCAGCAACTGAAGGTAATCACCTTCCTCCCAGAATTGTCATCACCTAGTGAACAAAACAATTAGTAAAGACAACACTCATTTACTTATGCAGTAGAACCTCACTGATCTGAAGAATGCCTTATATCTTCTGATACAAGCTACTTCTATCGCCCATCATTACTCAAAACATATGGCAACTTCACTGTCAAATCACATTGCCTAGAGAAAGCAATCTGGCCACCACTGCAATGAAATGAAGCAGTTGCTGGGAAAATGATGAAGCTAAGCAGAGAAAGTCATGTTCAAAGGTGGCTGGTCATGTTCAAAGGTGGCTGGTCATGTTCAAAGGTGGCTGGTCATGTTCAAAGGTGGCTGGTCATGTTCAAAGGTGGCTGGTCATGTTCAAAGGTGGCTGGTCATGTTCAAAGGTGGCTGGTGGTGCTTAACTCCTGACAGGAGAAACTTAAGCCTTCCTGCAGCATTCATTTGTGGAACATAACAGGTTTTCTTTCTCTAGCAGTCTTGTAAGTGGCCAGTTTTCACTTTTATGTCTAAAATCTATCAGAATGCCACTCTGCCTACAAGCACTTGGGGCATCTGCTTTGTCACATTTCTGAGTTAGACTTTTTTTTTTTTTAACCCAACTCAATCTTTCTTAGATACTGTCCTCCAGAAGCACTGCTACATTCAGACCACATTTAAAACACAAGCAAGGCATACAAGTATGCTTTTCATAATCTGAATATCCTAAGTGACCTTAAGTGACCTATAGCTCCTCTGACAAAGCATATATTGCCGCACTCCAGTTCATTTACTCTTGACTCATGACAGCTTCACCCACATTTTCTGTATAGACAAGGCTGGTATTTGTACCATGCCCACTCCACACCCAAGTTTGACTCTCTGGAAAGCCAAGTGCTCATACTGAAGGTAAACTGGCACTGAAGACTGGGAGGTTAAGATTTTAACATATGTCTACATGAAAGATATTAGTTCCTTAAAAGCAATATAGAAACACCCCAGAAAGTGTTTAATCTGAGTTAATATTTGACATTCTTGGTATAATTTCATTCTGCATTATTAACTCCAAGCATGTGTTATCACCAGGATCTGCACCGCATAACCCTTCCATTGATTTGTTGAGCTCTATTTAAAAAACTAGTTAGTTCTTTCTGCTCCTTGCTCATTTTGCTCACTGCTTTAACCACGAGCAACCTGGTTTCACAATTCCAGTCTAAAAGTTACTGCAAAATTGTACAAATTTGATCATGTGACAATGACATCACTCAGCTGAAGTAGCACTTCTCTTTCATTACTATTTACCATCCCAAAGGGCACTCTGGACAATGATCATATCCCCTCCCAGCCTTAATTTTACTGCTCAGAAACAAGGTAGACTGCCTATCTCTTCCCTGACGTTGTTATTCTCTATCCTGCTCCAATGTAAATGCATCTTTTCTAAACACAGTTGGCAAGAGTTAGACAATAAATGGCAGATGATCATCACATACAGGACTTAAAAAGATTTCCTAATAATATCAAAATCATTGTCTTTACTGAAAACCAAGATGAAGTATTAATTTAGTTTGACAGATATAGCTGGTTTATGTCTGATGGCCGTCCCATTCTCATTTCACAGAAAATCACCTCTCCTTTTTTTATTTATACAACCAAAGAACCTTTTGATATTTGCTTTAACATCCTTTAAAGATTTAACTCAGGTTAAATTTTGATAATTATCACAATAATCGTATATTTTGGACTTCCAAAACACAGCTTTCTCTGCTGACTGTTTTTTTTCTTCCTGTTCTTCTTTTTTTGACTGACTGCTTATTTTTATTCTCTCAAAGGTGGTTTTTCATCCCACAAGGCCTGTTTCGCATTAAAAATAAATTCTGGCTCCACGGTTAAATAAGATGCTTGAGCACCACTAAAGGAAGAATATGCACGACATTACAATTGTATGTACTCAAGTTATGTCTGCATATCATTCTTAAACAGACCATAAATTATTTCCTGAAGTTAAAGTGTCTCATTTGATATTCTCAGAATAGTTATAATGTGCCATGCATTAATACGAATGATGTACTAAAATTAAATTAAAACACTAATAAAAGTTTGTTCTCTAAATCATGACTTATGTGTGAAAAAATTGCTGTTACAATGCACTGTAGAATATTGTTAGAGACAATAATTTTCACCAGCAAAATAAATCTAAGAAAGATCTCCAGTTAAAGTACTAAATGAGCCATTAATTGCTACTGGTGGTCACATTTGACTGTTTGACTCAAAAGCCAGAAAAAATAACCACCTTTATAAAAGACTGCAAACAGATACACACTTAGAACATGAATAAACATAATTGCGTAGTTTCAATAACAGGAAAAATGAGAGGCAGAGAAACTTTCTCAAATTAACAACAGAACAGAGCACCTTGTTCTCCCACCACCAAGTGATGCGCAAGCTATAAAGCAAACCAGAAAAGGTGACCAAGAACATCAATTTCATTAAAAACTATTTAACAGTGACAGCTTCCAATTAGTGACGGCAGCTAATGAAAACAAAGAGGCTGTTCTTTCTTCACAGGTATCAATAACGTTTTGAAAAACATCAAAATTTTACATGACATGTGAAGTGCTGATCAAAAAAGAAGGAGGCTTCCCATGCCCTCCATCATAAGGGCTGTGGCTGAGCACCCTGGGAAATGCCATCGCATTTGATGGAGCATTTGCTTCCCAGCCTGACATAGTCTGAATCCCATGACTTTGAGAATAGAATTTTTACCCAAATATGCAGAAGTGCAGTTTGAAGGGTAAAGAGGAGAGTGGTAGTTATCTGTACATTCAAAGGAGAATGTAACTGGAAGCATGACAATTTCAAATCAACACAGATTTGTGTTTTTATCCCACAAAAACCTCATTTCCCTACTACTTGGACTTACTCAGAACTTAAAAGATGCCTCACATCTGCAGGAGACCAAGCAAACAAAGAAGTGCAATTTCAGCTTTGCTCCTTGACATTTTGCTTTCAGATCAAAAATGTAGTTTTGTATTAACTCAGTTTATTCCACAGTCTAAAGTCACCAAACATTTTTAAAGAGAAGTGGATAACACCCAGCCTCTCTGGAAAATGTACTCCTTCCATTATCTTTCTCCACTGGTTTTTAGCTCCAAACATTCAGAAGAAAGCAAACTACAGAAAATAAGGAAGCATGATGCACCACATATACTTGTATGTCCCTTCCTTTTTGCCACAAAGAAAAACAATCTTAAGTTTCTTTTAAAGTTAACAGATTGAAATTCCTCCTTCAAAATAGAAATAAAAAGAACCAGCACTGTAGCACTGTTCCATTTACATATGCTTCACCAGTTGCACACTGGTTTGTGACATAAATCACTCTGTAATTAATAAACAGTTATTAAAGCTTACATCGTTTAAAAATGTCCTCTATTCTTATTTAATTGTATTTTCACACTGGTTGAATACAACTCAAAAAATCTTCTTTGCATACAGTCAAAGCTATTGTTATGGAAAGCACCTATAAATCACTCTAATTTGTGAGAAGTGAGGATAAATTTTAGATTTTTTTTGTAACTCAACAGTGGAAAATAGATACTGTAAGAGGTGGATAAATTACTGCAAACATTTTCACCTAAATTAATTCTTTTTCTTCAATTAATTAAAAAAAAAATCTCATTGTCTTTCAATCACAGCATTACAAGTAAAGGAACAGCTTTCAGAATTGCTTTAAAATAACCATTCCTGAAATTATATTTTGTCTTATTCAAAGAGATTAAAACCACTATAAAGTAGGGACAAATAATTTAAAATTATCTATTTCAAATGGGACTGGCTTCTTCCAAGGTGTAAAGGAGATCTGAAGAGTTCATCCTTCCCTCACTTGAATCTAAATCCAGACAACATTCAAACTTGCCTCCATGCCAGTTCACACTGGGGATAGGGAGGTCTCATTTCATGGAGGTGAAGCATATTCAGATCATATTTCACCTTCCACAGGATCTGCATTCTTATGCACACCTCTGTGCTCTCCTTTTACATCCCATCATCAGAACTACTTTAGAGAGTGCAGACTGCTGTCTGAAGCATGCTTCTGGTCTATGGCATTTAAACTGTCCAGTAGATTTGCAAAACCCCATCATATATTTCTGGCTGATATGGCAGCTAAAGTCACACTTTTTTGAGAATAAACAGTGGCTAGGGGACTTACTTCCCTGCAAGAGAATGCAGTATTGAGGACAAAACCATCAGAGATAATCCAACATTTCAGCCTCTTGGTATTCATCTTGTGAATACCTCCATTTGTTCTGGCAAATTTAAGCCGGGAGCATACCTTGTATTTGGACTTTATTTCAAGCAGGACACACTGATACAGAGCAAGTTCCAAGATGAAACTACTGAAGGTACAGGTAGGTCTTTTTAAAAAACACTGTGGCTTTCACTCCACCACACTGAAGCACGTTCATGTTTCCTAACACAGGCATAAGGTATATACATGAGATGAACCCAGGTGGGACTACTCTGGAAAGGGCAGGCTGGTTATAATTCTGTCTCTATCACATGTTCTCTGTTTTACCAGCACTAAAAGCATGAATATTTAAGGAGAACTGCTCCAGTGTATTTCATTCTTCTCATTCCAAAATATCTCCCTTTTTCTAGTTCCCCCACAATTTTAACTCTTCCAAGTCAAATGATGGAGTCCTGAGACTACAAAAGTTACATGTTTTGTTTGACTTGGTAATATATAAACTTTTACTCCTTTATTTTTAAATAAAGGGAATGCCTTATTAATCAGTCAAGGAGAACTTACTAAGATTGCCAACTTTTCCCTTTTTCCTCAGTCTAAAGGAATGGAGAAGAGGAGCTTTCTCTAAGCACAGACTCTGGGGTTTCAGCTCATTACCTGCTAGCTCTGCCCATAGCAGCACAAATCATGATGGCTCCTCCAAGGAAAATAAACACTAAAAGACCCTTTAGGATTAACACCACCAAATAACAAATGCTTATGACTTCCACAGCAGATTTAAGTGAGTGAAGAATGAGGAGCAACAACAAACATTTAGAAAATAGTTGTGCATGGCTAAAACTGAAGGAGTAAATACATGGCGCATCACAATTTGATACTGAACATACTAGCTGGAGGAAAAAAAAGGCTTGAATCTCTTTTAAAGATCATGTTGCACTGTGCAATACAGCAGATGGAAGAGATTCTTAGGTGGACAGTTAGAGTGACTTTGGTGTATCCAGTCTGTCAGTTAACACATGTATTTCACACTTTGTCAGTGTGATTTCAAGGGTTTCATTATAACTTCTATATCTTGGTATTTCCCCCATCCCAAAACTGATACTTGAGTGAGAAACATCATAGTGGGTTAGCAGGTAGCAGCTTTTGTATCACAAGACCATGAATCTGTTACTCCCTTGTTTATGCATTTGAGTCTTATGTTGGATGGTTAGTTTTGAAGAAGGGAAAGGTAATTATTATCTGTGTATAACAAGCTTCCAAAACAGAAGTTACTATGGGTAAAATTCTCCTTCCACTGTAAGTCAGAAGCCAAATTACCAGAGGTTTCGCTCCCACAATCACCCATATCTCACTAGAGGTTTTGCTAAAGTTGGTATTTGCCTGGACAACATCCTGTTTACAGCTTGAATTCAAGAAGCTACCCATGTATAACCCGAGCTCATAATTTTCCTGAAAAATCATAATCTAGGCTCACTGAAGTATGAGGTGCAAAAAGCAAACACAGCACAATCCTAGACTTCATTAGGATGAACAGTGTTAAATACTGCTATTTGTTTCCCATTGTATCGATTTCTTTAGCTCAGGATCGTGATTATTAACGCTACTAATTTAGCAAGCACATTGGTGCCAAAAATAAGCCCAAAGGAAAAAAAAATAGGCTATGCATACTGTAAAGAAGTGCTCTGATATCATAAATATGTCTTATACGCTGCCAAACTGTTTTAAAAATAAATAACTGTAAACATTGAACGATCCAATAGCCAAACATGCTATGTACCCATAGCTTCTCTCCATGTCACAACAGAAAGTCAGATGACAAATGCAGTTAACACTTAATGTCAACAGTTTTCTTTCTGCCTTTTGTTAGTTTTTATACAGTAGCCCATTTCTTTGGTTGCATGCCCTTTCCAGGGCAGACTAGAAAATGATTAAATGTGACTACACAACATTTCAAGTTATTCAGAAAACAAAACAGCTTATCACAAATAAAGCACAGATCTGTTACAGCCACAGCTAGGCCTTAGATTATAATATATTGCTATAGTTATATTTTAAAGCAAGATTAAGCCCAAATATTTAGCTCATAATTCATCCACAGAAAAGCACCGAGTTCACATATTACTGTTCAGCTGCTTTTCAGGATGAAGGCTGAAGACAGCAACATGATTCCTATGCATCACCTTGAGGAATACAGTAAGAAAAATGCAGTAAGAGGTGCAGTAAGGTAAACTCATAGTATTTTCCAAACATACCTGCTAACTGGATGATGCCATGTCTTGCAACATCATAGTAGGGGTGATTGATATTTAGCTCAGGATCCGCAAGTGCTGGAGGCATAAATGTTTCTTCCTGTTCTGACTGTATATCTTCCGCTTCATCTTTTTGCAGTTCTAAAGGAGCAAGCAAGACTGTTTTAAGTGCTAATGAACAGAGAAAAACTTTTGCCTCCAATACATTATTTAAGGGTTGAACTGTAGCTCAGTCTGTCAAAACCAGTCATTTATCACTCTTTGTTGCAGCTTCAAATCAGTTTCTTGTCCTTTACCCTTTCTCATGGGTGAGAAATGCAACCCTTCAATACTTCAAAGCTATCATGTCCTCCTTAAGTTTATTTAGTATCTACTGTTTTGCTCATGAAAATCTCAACAATGACTGGACAGCTGGCATACTGTGACCTTGATATTCACAACTAGTGGAGTTTTCTCATCATTTTCTACACTCCCACAGTCTGCTTTTGTATCCATCTATAGCTTCTTGACTTTTATTTCAAGGTTGCCCAAGTGGAGAAGTCAAAGCTTCAGTATGCTACCATGTGCTTTGACAGCTACTCCACATTAACACCCCGCGTGAACGCTCTCAGAAGGCAGACTTATTACTTTGCATAAAGGTAGCAAATTGCAAACAAATCTCCATCTCACCTCCCCCACAAATCCACAGTTTCCTTGAAATCCTTTAACTTTCTGAACTTGCAATAGGGCAAACGCAGCCAAATGTCCACCAAACACATACTCCAGTCAGAGGCCAAACAAAGGTGTAAAAGCCGGCTCAAAAGCACAGTAAAAACGAATGACCATCCTTCACCGAACTTCAGTAGATTCTGGATTATATCCTAGAATTAAAATCTACTCTGTACTGAAATACGCAACACAAGGTTAACTGACACTGTTCCAGGTTTTTTTGGTTATGTTTATTTTTTTCCCCTAGCTTTTTTTCAAACTGTTATTCAAACAGAACTGGTCCTAAGTACGTATCCAAATAAACACAGATTTTGGGATAATTACTGTCAATAATGCTCTACACTATTCGTGTGAATGTTTTCTAGAACCTGCAGGAATAACATTAAATTGACACACTAATAGACAAGTGTCATGGTGGCTTAAAAGAAGAAAAGGCACATGTCAAAAGAAAATTCTGATAAGGTGCATCATTCCCTGTACATCATCCATCCCTTTTTATCATGTAAATTTTAATAAGGTAGAATTAATGGTTTTATCTACAACACTATTAGTGACCCTTTAAAAAATGCTTTAAGAATATTGTGCCTTCTGATCATCTGCGTATTTCATATGCCTTGACCACCACGCAAGACACTAGGGCAGAAAGAACATATTAAGTATTGATTTCAGCCAGATTTACGTGCCAGTACCTAATAAGTGTTACAGGAAAAACTCTTAGTAAATATTTCAGAATGCTTTCCACTCACCGTTTCTCAGTATCTTTCTAGCCTATAAACAGCCACATGAAAGCTTTATTGTCTCATTTTTATTTTTAACATTATTTGTACTAAAAATGAATTTCACAAGGATGAAAAATGCCACTAGCGGCTGGGATTCTGAAAGATAAATAGGAGTCAGGAACACATGTACTACTGTTACATTTCTTTATGTCTGAATTCATATTACAGCCTCAGGAAATAAATCAGCAGTCTTACAGGAAAACAAATCTGCCTTTAGAAATACACAATTAGAGTCCTCCTTATACATAGAAAAAAGTTTAAATTTTTATTATTATCTCCAAAATGTGTATTTTTCTACCCTTTAAAAGTGTACCACATGTAGAAAGCTAGACTAACCTTAATTGGAAAAGTATTCTTTTACTCTAAAGAATGTTTCTGACCCAAGAGCTGGGAAGAATAATACAATGTAGTATATGAATGTTATGATTTTTTTCCTTTTTAAAATATTTCAGTCCTGTTAAAACTCAGAACAAGGAAAACATTGTTTTGTGTATTTGATTTTTGTTTTGGTGGTAGGGTTGTTTTTTTCATGTCTGAGCACTGTAACCACCCAAAGTAACAAAAACTTGCAAAAGGGAAAGAGGAAAAGAAATAGAAAATGGTAGTCTTGTGGAGACACAAAGCAGCAGCTGTGAACCATTTACCTGCCATAATCCACTGAAACTTAACATGATTTATTAAAAGCAAAATGTGTATTCCAGATAAATACAACAGAAACAACCAATATGTTAACTACAGCCTTTGGTACAGAGAGGCAGAGGTAAATCCTTCTGTAAAAAATTATTTTGTACTAAGCATAAAAAAAGACATGTTTCCAAAAAGCAGGGGTAAGGATTTGTAACAAAGTATAGATATCAAGCTTTTTGAGAGGCGTCACAGAACTAGAGAAGCAAAGTAAATATGCATGCCCATTTGTACTGCACTTACTTTACTCACAGAGGCTAAAGAAGTCTCAACAGCTATCATATCTACCAAAAAGCTAGTTAACTCTAATCTAGTAAGATAATTCTTTGTATATTCTTTTTCTCATACCTCCTTCCTCCACCCCCTGCCCTTCTTTTTTCTTAATGTGTGTACAAGAGGACTGGACCTCAAGAGACGTTTTGTAACAAACACAAAATAAAAAAAAGAAGATTCATTGTTCCAAACTGATGGAGACCTCTGCTCTGTTTTTCTCCTGCACATGACAGAGGAGTTTATTGCCCTGCTCCATGAGCTGCAGCAGAGTACCATCATTACTACTTACACTGTTATTGCTGCTGAACCCAGGTTGGGAGACAACATGAGGGGCCTGATCCTGAGCTTGCAGAGACAGAGGGGAAAATTGCTTTCAACGGATTTTGAATCAGGCCCTAGGAGCTAAAAGCCCAGCCAGCTGCTCCTGAAAGTCATGACATAGAGAAATCAGAGATAAGGCAAGAAAGAAAAGGGAGGCGTGGGAGGAGTACGAAGAGGGAGGTAAGATCTGGAACATTCTTGCTCTGGGGTTCAGCCTGGCATCCTCAAAAATTCAGAGAAAAAAAAAGGTACGCTGATCTTTCAAAATTACGAGGCTGCTAATGCCATATTGCTCAGCTCAACTAACAGCTTTGAAATAACATGCAATACAGCAATCTCTATGCTCATTCAACACTTGTCTGTTTGGAGTAATGACTTCCATTTGTGCCACAATATGTGATGATGGTGATATCCAATAGCCTAGAATTGCAGTAGGAACATCTACCAATAATTCATAAAAGCTGAATGTATTAAACTAACCTTCAACCCTAATGACTTCAGTAGGATACATATTAGTACAGTGGCTGTAACTCATTTTGGATTGCTCCAAGAAGTATTACAAAATATAGATGAAGCCTCTCACTTACTGAATATCCTCTATTAAATCACCTGCAACGCTACACAGATGCCATTTGAAGTATAATAAAAAAATATTTACCTATTTCAGCTAACTTCTCATAGTCAATCTCAGACATGTTTCCCCTTAGGAACAAGACTATGCAGAACTTGCTAACTGATTCTTGCAGGATGAAAAGGTCCTTGGGTCAACCCTACAAAAATAAATAAAAGCAGTTGTCATCACAATGTCGCATATTTTACCCACTTTACAGTTATAAAAAGAAAACAAAAAACACATCCCAGAAATCTTACTGTCCAATTATTGTCGAGGAAACATCATCAGCATCTGGCCACCATTTTCTTACAACATAGAATATTATAAAAGTATTTTAAAATGGTGGTCCAAAGAAAGAAAAGCTACGCACGACAACAACTCAAAAAATTGACCTATTTTAATTTTAGACTTACATATTACACATTTTTTAATCATAAACATCAAAATTGCAGATTAATTCCAGAAACAAATAAATCAGAATTATTTCTTAGTTTTATTTCTCTGATCAAGAAGATGCATATACTCCATACCATCACACCAAAGTCACTTATTCTGCAGCAGTTATAAATTTTATTACAGGAAATGTTCCATACCCCACATCTCACATGAAAGCGCTTCATGAAAATTGCAAGTGAGCATTAACACATAAAAAAATCCTGAAAAAAACAGCAGTTCCTGTGCGTAATCACTGCTTTTTGTCAAACGCTCTGTGGAGTGCTTTGTAAACAGAATACTAAGTAACACACTCAAAAGTGAGCATCAGAAGTGAAGAATACAATTCAGGAGATCTGTTTCCCTAAGCAGCTGCTCCAAAAAGCAAAATGAGTGCTTTCCTTAAATTAAAACCCCAGACCCAGATGTGGAGGTAAGAAAGAAATCGAGCTTTTATAACTTTCCTGTTAATTTAACACCCCTACCTTATACCGGTTTGTTTTCATCTAAATACATTAAATAAAAAGAAAACAGCAAATTCATGGCTTAGTTGTCAAAAAGGCATACACAAGCATGTTCTTCTCTTCTGCCAAGAGGTTAGATTTTTTATTTCTCCTTCAAACCCCTGAAATTGGGAAATTATTTTGTACCAAAAAAAAGACCAGTTTGCCTGCTTGCTGATGCCCACACTGCACATCCCAAAGCTTAACTAGGTTTATTCTAGACCCACAAGCCTGAAGGTTAGACACTATCTTTTTTTTTAGCCAGAAAAAGGATCTATAAGTAGTGTTTCAGAAATAAAATGTACATTGACAAAGCAAGTAAATATCTGTCTAATTATAAGCATATGTTTACCTATTTTCCTGAGGAGGAATTAGTCATTAGAGCAATCACAGGTACTGTGTGTGTGAAGTAGAGTCAGGCTCTAACAAGCTAATGCAGTCTATCCTTTGGGTATTTACGCAGGCAAAACAAATTTGCATCCTAGTATATGACTAAACACCCAAGTACTACAGTAAAATAAGCACCCACTAACCATTATAATATTTAAAAGAGCTTGTGATGGCTAATGAAAGTTTTCCACAAATTTGCACAGATCTGATACTCATAGTAATTATCACCAAAGGCAACCATGCATTTCCATAACTTGCTGTATTGCAGATAAAATATGGACATGGCTCTACCACTTCAAAAATCTTTAAACACCAACTGTTTTATAACAATCTTACTTGTTTCCTGTTGAAAATACTATATCCTTTTACAGGAAACTCTCAAGTTAAAAGCACACACAGAAGGAAAAGTCCTCTTAAGTTCAAAAGAGAAAATTATGTAATTTCTCATTAAGCAACAATTTGCTTAAAAAAGCAAAAGTAATTCAGGGCCAGATATCGAATTAAGAATTGACTAGGCTGGAAAAGACTTTTATGATCATCAAGTCCAACTGTTAAAAATTATTAGTGTATCCTAAATATGCATCTCAGTTCATATTAATTTCACCACAAGGTATTCAAACTGGAAATTCCATTGTTGTTTTTAAATTATGATACAAAAAGCTCCAACTTAGTGATTGTTATTCCATAATTATTATTACAAGTGGTATTTAGACATTTCCAAAATTAACAATTGGGAACTAACATGATAGTGCATGTGTTTTTTTTTGCCACTAAGTTGTGACAGGTACTGTAGATAAATTAGTCATTGCCAGATTGACACTTCTTCAAATAAATAAAAGTATCTACTTCAAATAAATAAAATTTTAAAATGTTTTTTAAGCAAGGTGCAGCTGCAAAAAAAAAAAAAAAAAAAAAAATGCAAAGAAAAGCTATTTCTATCTTATCTGAACAATTTCCTCCTGCTTTTTCCTAAACAAAATGTTTATATTTTGTAGAAATCAAAGAATGGTTCTAGGTTGGAAGGGACCTTAAAGATCAGCCAGTTCCAATCCCCCTGCCATGGGGAACATATGTCCAAATTCAGCCTACATCTCCCACTTGAACTCGTACCACCTAGCCTCCAACCCCACTGAGTATTTCAAGCTGCTCTATGCTCAAGCTGGAACCTGACCACAATAAACTCTTTGTGACTTATTTTTCTGTTACATTTTTCAGTTTATTTTTCATAGGCTACTACCTGCATTCAGCCAAACTCAGAACAAAGAAAGCCAATGTTCAATATATCTGATCTTCACAGTCTTCACCCCAACCAAATATTTCCCAAAGCTCTTATAAGGAAATGGGGCTCTACCTTCTTTCTAAAATACCTACTTACACCAGGACTTTCCATGCCATTGAATTTCAACCGCAAATCATAAATAAAATCAGAAGTCATAAAAATTAGGCTATATCTTTGACACTGGCATGCTTTTCAGATTATGTGAGTAGTGAAAGTCTCGATGAATTGATGGAACAGGGAAAAAAGCTATCTCCTTGATTCCCCAGCTAAAGAAAAATGAAAAAAAAGATAAGAGTCCTGCTGCATAGCATGGAATGAAAACCAATTTCTCTTTCACACTAATTGCTACCACTATAGTTAGAAGTAGTGGCTCAATCTAAAGAGGACAGGTTTAAATCTCTCTGAAAATCTGCTGAAAAACATCTGGCTTCTGTACAGCAAAGTTACCATACAAGTGAGAGCAACTATGTTAGCGTTAAAACATTTACAAACATTTAACACACAAAGTTACTAGGAAGATAGAAATAATTTAGGTGGAATCAAAGAATAAGGGAAACAGGGAAGAAACCATCTGCCTGGTTTTCAGCTTACTGTTCCCTTGGGGCTGCAATTAGAAAGTTTCCAGTTACAAAACAAATTTATTGTAGCACCCTTGGAAATTGATTTCCTGTTGACCTCAGCATTCTCTGTTCCTAGGAGATAACATAATCTCCTTAATAGTGTTCCATGCCACGTATCACTGTTTCTAGTAAACTGTCAGATTTACTACCTTCCCCCACCTTACACCACCAAAAGGACAGTAAAAAAAAAGCCTCAAAGAGCCAAACTACAAGCGTTTTATTAATAATAGAAATTTGGAAGTATTTTACAAAATACCACAGTCTATATCCCTCCACAGGCAAGGTTATTATTTACTGACATCCCTAAAAGAGCATTACTTTATTGAAAATGAGGGCAGTCACGCACACAGAACTATTTGATAATGAACTCACATCTATGGATAGTCCAAACAAAGGCGAGGGATTCCTTCCAACATTTGTCAAGGCACAGAGATCTTTGATGCCTATTCTTTTTGTTCACTCAGCTGTCAGATATGTTCTTCAAATTTAAATGGTGTGGCTTCTCTTCCCCTCCATCCCCCACAGTGTTCTTGCATTCCACTGATATTCTTTGTTACTTTTAAAATATGTGACATAGCTCACCATGTAACACCAGTCTGCAATTTACATTTTGATAGCATGAGAATTCTGTGTAAACGCAGTATTTGCTAAGGGGTAATGTCTACAAAACCAGGTAAAGTGGTTTCAGAAGATTATTTTATTATTTATAATACTGCAGAAACTTTGCTATGGCATCTATAACCACAGCAACACATGAGCTGAGTGCATTATGTACTCATGAAAAGTACATTCAAAACAACCTCCTTTTCTTCCCATAGGTTGTCTGCACTAAATAGTATTTTTCCTCAGTGTATTTCCTATACCTGCTTTCAGGTATTTGACACAATTCGTTTTTATACTCTTTCTTGACCTACCATTCCTTGTTGGCAATATGTTGAGGAAAATCAGCTGGACCATGCATAGCAAGTAGACACCAAGACGGCCAGAACTGAAATATCCTTTCCAAAATAAAGTACTGTGAAGCCTGGAAAAGCAAATATTCTAGTGTTACCTCCAACATCAATATAGATAAGTGTTATTGAACAATGAAATTCAGGAAAATTTAAACAGCTTTGATTTTATTAATTTTTCCATTTGGGCTCTAATCCCAAATTGATTTTACTACTGTAATACAGTCCATTGATTTTAGTGCAGTAAAGATAAATGTACACAAATTCCTAGAGCTGGCCACTTTTCTCTGCAATGTCAAAACATTTTTAACCAAACTTTCCCTAAAAAAAAAAATCATTTGCAAATGAAAAAATTATTCAACAATTTATTATGTTTTTGAAAGAAGGATTTTGACAGACATACTGATAAATTTACAATTAAAAAACTACTATTTTGAAAAGTTCAATACAAGTTTACAAAAGGTTATCCAACTATGTAAGGATATTTCAATCACTTTAAAAGCATAATCACTACTCTTAACTGCATCTGCATAAATTTATTTTAAGATCACTTAATACACAAAAAGCCATGGTAGAATTTAAAGCAAAATATTAGAAATATTCCTGCAACTGTTCAGCATTTACCTGATTTTAACATGGCTTGGGTTCTTAAATGTGAAGTTGACAACACTGTTCTTTCACAATTAACAAAAACATTAAAGATTTTATAATGGTTAACACACATCTCCACACAACATAACCCTAGTAGCATTACTACTCTGTCCCAAAAAATAACATATAATGAAAAATATTATGTTAAAACTGAAGAGTAAAAATAACAATTAAATGCATATGGCCTTAAAAAGAATCCAAACAAAAACTTCATTCTTTCTGTACCACACTAGTTTGGGGAATTTTGAGCTTCTTTTCCTATAATGATCAGAGAAGCAGCACACACAAAGGTTAATTCCTGCAACAGATTGAGACACAGCTTTGAATATTAGAAAGAAAGGAAGACACTCTCCCCGTCATGAGTCTCGGTGCAATATAATACCCAGTTACACACTGATCAAACAGCACTGATTTCTCTGAAAGCAATTTTCTACTACTCATCCAATTGGTGCTTGGAAAATAGGCTACAGCATTTACTTGGTGATGGCATATACTGAACCTAACTTGGAAAGAAGCCCAAGTTTGTTTGGTTGGTTGGTTTGCTTGTTTGTTTGTTCCCTCCCCCAGTATTTACTTTTGAACAAATACTAAAGGAGTATTCTTTAATTACACAAACACAACCCCTAACATTATTTTCCTGTTTACCTCTCTACCAAGTTCTTCTTTTCTCATTTTTTCTGTTGTCTTGCTGCTAATGAAACATGACTGAATAAGTAAATGTGTGTGTTTGTATTCCCTCAGTATTTAAAATTATACTGGCAACTAGAACTGTGATTTTCTAAACAACAGTTTTTATTTGTTTATTGAGGTTGTTGAGCCATCAAGCTTCACCAAACTTTATGACAAATTTCATCACTGAGTTACCAGTGTGAATTCAGCGTGAATACAAAGCAAACTATGTTCACCATGTGGATGTATAGCAGCAAAGATAGGAGAGACCAGTAACTTAACAGAAAGAATAAGTACTGTTATCAAAGACAATAAATGTAATTTTGAAGCATTTTCTTAACCCCTTCCTCAGAATAAAAAAAATATTAATGTTGAAGGGAGGAAGTGCCTACATGCTATGTTGTACTTGGTTTGATAATAAATCAGACTTTTAAATAAAGACTTCAGTTTCTGATGCCATAAACTGAGTAACGTTTAACCAGCACCGCATTCATTTAAGGCCAATATTTGTTGTATATAAAATAAACAAAACAATGTTTGCTACATTGTGTAGGAACGTGAATTCTCAGCAGGGAGGATGGTAAACACTGTGTAGCACACTTCTGAAACGAGAAATTTGTTACTGGACAGTTATTTTTCCCCTCAGAGACAGTCTGGGGAGAAAACAATATTCACTGTGGTTGGTTTTACACATTCATGTATAATAAAATTTAGAACATGATTATTTAAAATAATATGGATGCTGGAGTGATAAAAAGATATAAAAGTACAGTGTTACTGCCTAGTATAGTGCAACGCCACCCTTCCTGTGGCAGAGCCTGTGTTGTGGTCTAGGATGTCATTTACAGGTTGTCCTGGGCAATGAACAACTACTGTGGGAGGTATAAATCCAACTCCATCCATTCCTGTCTTTCCTCTGAGTGCTATCTCTTGACTGCAGGCTGCCTAATAAAACATTTTCCCACAGTTATATACTATGCCCAATCTCAAAGTCTACTGCAATGTGCCTGCCTCTATCATGCTTGTGATCAACTCTGTCGCAGGACAGGAGCAGGTAGGTAAACAGAACAGGTTATACTTT